GGGGGGGGGATGAGGGAGGTGAAGTCTGCAGAAAGGGCGTGCTATAGGCTGAGAGGGGTGGGGAAGGGCGTGAAGGGGAAATGGACGTGGTGGGAAAAAGGACGTGGGGGGAAAAGGACGTGGGGGGAAAAGGACGTGGGGGGAAAAGGACGTGGGGGAAAAAGGACGTGGGGGGAAAAAGGACGTGGGGGGAAAAAGGACGTGGGGGAAAAAGGACGTGGGGGAAAAAGGACGTGGGGGGAAAAAAGGACGTGGGGGGAAAAAGGACGTGGGGGAAAAAGGACGTGGGGGGAAAAAGGACGTGGGGGGAAAGGACGTGGGGGGAAAGGACGTGGGGGGAAAGGAAGGACGTGGGGAAGGAAAAGGACGTGGGGGGAAAAAGGACGTGGGGGGAAAAAGGACGTGGGGGGGAAAAGGACGTGGGGGGAAAAAGGACGTGGGGGAAAAAAAGGACGTGGGTGAAAAAGGACGTGGGGGAAAAAGGACGTGGGGGAAAAAGGACGTGGGGGAAAAAGGACGTGGGGGAAAAGGACGTGGGGGGAAAAAGGACGTGGGGGGAAAAAGGACGTGGGGGGAAAAAGGACGTGGGGGGAAAAAGGACGTGGGGGGAAAAAAGGACGTGGGGGAAAGGACGTGGGGGGAAAAGGACGTGGGGGGAAAAAGGACGTGGGGAGGAAAAAGGACGTGGGAGGAAAAAGGACGTGGGGGAAAAAGGACGTGGGAGGAAAAAGGACGTGGGAGGAAAAAGGACGTGGGAGGAAAAAGGACGTGGGAGGAAAAAGGACGTGGGAGGAAAAAGGACGTGGGAGGAAAAAGGACGTGGGGGAAAAAACGTGGGAGGAAAAAGGACGTGGGGGAAAAAGGACGTGGGAGGAAAAAGGACGTGGGAGGAAAAAGGACGTGGGAGGAAAAAGGACGTGGGAGGAAAAAGGACGTGGGAGGAAAAAGGACGTGGGGGAAAAAGGACGTGGGAGGAAAAGGGACGTGGGGGAAAAGGGACTTGGGAGGAAAAGGGACGTGGGGGAAAAAGGACGTGGGGGAAAGGGGACGTGGGGAAAGGGACGTGGAGGAAAGGGGACGTGGGGGAAAGGGAGTGGGGAAAGGGGACTTGGGGGAAAGGGGATGTGGGGGAAAAAGGACGTGGGGAGAGTGGGAAAAGAGGACGTGGAGGAAAGAGGACGTGGGAGGAAAGAGGACGTGCGAGGAAAAGGACGTGCGAGGAAAGAGGACGTGCGAGGAAAGAGGACGTGCGAGGAAAGAGGACGTGCGAGGAAAGAGGACGTGCGAGGAAAGAGGACGTGCGAGGAAAGAGGACGTGCGAGGAAAGAGGACGTGCGAGGAAAGAGGACGGCGAGGAAAGAGGACGTGCGAGGAAAGAGGACGTGCAGGAAAGAGGACGTGCGGGAAAGAGGACGTGCGAGAAAGAGGAACGTAGGGAAAAAAGAACGTGGAGGAAAAAGACGTAGGAAAAAGGAACGTGGGGAAAAAGAACGGGAAAGAACGGGAAAAAAAAGGACGGTAAAAAAAAGACGTGGAAAAAAGGGAAAAAAGGACGGTAAAAAAAGGACGTGAAAAAAAGAACGTGAAAAAAGGACATGGAAAAAAAGGACATGGAAAAAAGGACATGGAAAAAAAGGACATGGAAAAAAGGACATGGAAAAAAGGACATGGAAAAAAAGGACATGGAAAAAAAAGGACATGGAAAAAAAAGGACATGGAAAAAAAGGACATGGAAAAAAAGGACATGGAAAAAAAGGACATGGAAAAAAAGGACATGGAAAAAAAGGACATGGAAAAAAAGGACATGGAAAAAAGGAAAATGGAAAAAAGGACATGAAAAAAAGGACATGGAAAAAAAAGGACATGGAAAAAAAAGGACAGGAAAAAAAGGGGCATGGAAAAAAAGGACATGGGAAAAAAAAGGGAATGGGGAAAAAAGGAATGGGGAAAAAAGGAAGTGGGAAAAAAGGAAGTGGGGGGAAAAAGGAAGTTGGGGAAAAAAAGGAAGTGGGGAAAAAAGGAAGTGGGGGAAAAAAGGAAGTGGGGAAAAGGAAGTGGGGAAAAAAGGAAGTGGGGGAAAAAAAAGTGGGGAAAAAAGGAAAAAAAGGGAAATGGGGGAAAAAGGAAGTGGGGAGAAAAGGCGTGGGTGAAATGAGTAGGGAAAAAGATGTAGGGGAAAAGAGCGGCGAAAAAAGAATGGGAAAAAAAGACGTCTGGAAAAAAGACGGGGGGGGGGAAAAGGGCGTGGGGAAAAAGGACGAGGGGAAAAGGACGTGGAGGGGAAAAGGGGGAAAAAGGAATGGAGGGAAAAAAAGGACGTGGAGGGGGGGGAAAAGGGGCGGAGAGGGGGGAAAAGGACGTGGGGGGAAAAGGAGTGGAGGGAAAAGGATTGGAGGAAAAAGGACTTGGGGAAAAAAAGGGCGTGGGGGAAGGACTGGGGGGAAAGGACCTTGGGTGAAGGATGGAAAAGGACCTTGGGAGAGAAAAGGACCTTGGAGGGAAAAAGGACTTGGGGGAAAGGACTTGGGGAAAGGAACGTGGGGGAAGGACGTGGTGGGGAAAGGACGTGGGGGAAAGGACGTGGGGGGGAAAGACGTGGGGGAAAGGAAAGTGGGGGGAAAGGACGTGGGGGGAAAGGACGTGGGGGGAAAGGACGTGGGGGGAAAAGGACGTGGGGGGAAAAGGGCGGGGGGGGGAAAGGACGTGGGGGGAAAGGACGTGGGGGAAAGGACGTGGGGGGGAAAGGCGGTGGGGGGAAAGGACCCTGGGGGGAAAGGACGTGGGGGGGAAAGGACGTGGGGGGAAAGGACGTGAGGGGAAAGGGCGTGAGGGGAAAGGACGTTTAGGGGAAAGGACGTGGGGGAAAGGACGTGAGGGGAAAGGAACGTGAGGGGAAAGGCGTGAGGGGAAAGGGGAAAAAGGCGTGAGGGGGAAAGGGCGTGAGGGGAAAGGCCGTGAGGGGAAAGGACGTGGGGAGGGGGGGAAAGGCGTAAAACTTAGGGTGGGTATGTGAGAAAAGGGTGTGGGAGGGGTGCATGGAGGGAAAGTGCATTGGGGTGGGAGTGGAGCATCTTTTTGCCAAAGAAGTCCCGGGTTGCATGGGAACTCATGTACACTTAAATCAATGAAATACTTATGTTTTACTTCCAATTTACCCTTAACTCTCAAGCTGTGAATTAATTAAAACTGTTCAACGGTTTCGGTCAGTTTTCATTGCCAGTTTGCGGGTTAAGTTATTTGTTCCAGTCACTTTGGGCTTATCTCGACTTCTCATAGAAAACAAATAAGTAGCACTAGAACTGTGTTGACGTCCCTCGTATATTCATCTTCGTGTTTACAAAAGAAATTACTTTGCATGTGATGCTACATTTAAATACACTTCCGTACCGTCTTGTGTTTGTAAACAAATGCGTTTTCTTGTGGCAGGTACACGTTTATAATCTTTTACTTTTGTGTTTGAATATTTGAGGGTACGAACATTCAAGTTCGTCTGTGACATGGTGGTATGTGCTAATGTTTACCTCTGCCTGCTTGTGTATTTATATACTGTACTTAATTAACTGAGGGTACAATGTGCACATTTGTGCATTTCTGTGACTAACTAGCGCTTGAAGATTTATGATGTACTGCTTCAATATGTGGGTGTACAAGATTTGTTAGCTAGTGTGCAACTATGCAAAGACATTTTTCAAGTTTTTTAAAGACAAGTGAAACTTTGAGATATACCAGTTTGAGTGAATCTGTGACTGGGTTTGTCTGTCTGCATAAAGGTGTTTGTCTGGGTGAAGGTGCTTGCGTATGCTTACATAACCCATAGCCATATAGTTCAAGTGTGTGTGTACACGTGTAAATACTATTGTGCATGGTGTACACATGTACACCAACATGCCAAGGCCAGTACTTCAGTGATGTTGCAAGCATGTGTATGTCGGTGTGGGTGTTGTGGTGGGTGAGGTTAGTGGGGTGTGGTGGTAGTGTGGTGTGGTGTGGCGGGGAAGGGGGAAGGGAGGGGAAGAGGGAGGGAGAAATTGGGAGTAAAAGGGGGGTGAGAAGAGGGAGGGGGTAGCTGTACTTAGGTGGGTTGCTGTGTGAACGTATCCTAGATGTGCGTGTGGATGTGTGTGTGTATACAGGTCGTGTGTACAGTGAACTCTCCCATACCACCTAGCACGCACACGGGCCGTCTTGAAGAGACTTCCGTGTGCACACTATACCTCAGCCTGTGTGCACCTTTACCCTTGCCTTCCTAATGAGCGTATATACGCTTGTGTACGTCCATGTGCGTATATGTGAAAAACTTGTGTAAGACCCCCCCTCCTTCACAAGACCCCTGGTTTGTGTGCGTATGTAAGTATGTGCGTGGCGGTGTGTGTGTACAACTTGTGCGTCCCCCTGTAACCCCCCATCTCCCTCGCCCCACTCCCCCTCCCCCCGCACTGCTGCCGCTCCGCTTTGTTCCACACCACACGAGCGGCGTATCCCACATCCCACTCCACCTAACCCACTCACCACCCACACAACCACCCACACCCCACCCACCACCCTTTCTACCACCCACTACTAAACAGCACCCATATGCACTTCCCCCAGAGTGGCAAGAGTGCCCACAATACCCACACGGTGCCACAAACATGAGGACTTGTGATCCCACTCAGTGCTTGTGGCTTACGTCCCTCTACCCGCCCGGCGCCCTTAACTCCACCGCCGGCTGGATTCTACCCGACGGGTTACACATCCAACACCTACATTTCACCTCTATACCACCTCTATATTCCTCCACTGGCACCATCCAGGCAAAATCCGAGTTACGAGGATGCTGCAAACGTTGGTCTCAGCATCACAACATTCAAAAGTTGCGCGGTAAACCCATGTTCAATGTTTCGCGCGTTCTCCAGTTGTCTGTTTCATCTGTCAGATTCATCTCAATACACAAATATCTCACTGTTAGAAGCACTGGTGGCACTGGCCTTATCCTCACTGCACTCGTGCCCACTACTTACTTGATCGCACACTATTTTCAAGCACAATTAAGGTCAAAGTCACTGTATATCGAGGAAAGTGTAGTTAACCATCGACTCCGTAGTCCACCCGCGGTCCCAATATGGCGGCGACTGGTCACGTGACGGAAAACAGTGACGTCACCTAAAGCTCCAGACTGAGTGAGACCGTCCAATCAAAACCCAGAGTCTACGTCACGTGACCAGCGGTGCCGCCACAGCCAATCAACGACCGGAGATGCCGACTTATATGCCCCTATTCCCTTGAACCCCCCGCTCTTCCACTGGCCTCCCCCACCCCCCCAACATCCCCCTTCAGCGCCTCCGACAGTAGAGGAGCAGCTGGAGGTGGACCTCCACGTGGTCCTCACCACCATCTCCTCCTCCTCCTCCTCCTAGTACCCTCCAGGCGCCGCATGTCACAGCACTCCACGTGCTTCATCCACACCGCCTCCATCTGCGACTCCCTCACCAGAAAGTGTAAACATCAACAAAGTGTCCATTGAGAGGGTCATGATGTTCCTGAGGGCTGGGTAGATGCCTCGCCGGCCTTCCCTCCCTCCCTCACTCCACCACAAGGGGAAGCACTCGCACACTAGGCCTACCACAGTGCTCCTCCCTTCTCATGCAGGGGTGGGAATGGGGGAAGGGGAGGGGAAAGTCTCCGCCACCGCCACCGCCACCGCCATAACCTCCATCATCGCCGCCGCCATCCTCTCCGCCGCCGCAGCTCTCCCTCCCTCACCACTGACGATCGCACCCACCTCCGCCTCCATCCCATAACCCCCCCACCCCATCACCCAAACAACTACCATCACCCCCACCCCAAATCCACATCCCCCAACTCCCACCACAACTTTCCTTCACCCCACAACCCCACTAACACCCACAACCCCCCTACACCCCACAACCCCCTACACCCCACAAACCCCCTACACCCCACAACCCCCTACACCCCACAACCCCCTACACACCACAACCCCCAACCCCACAACCCCAACACTCTACAACCCTTCTACAACCCCACCCTATGTCAACCCCGCTTCCACCCCCACACCCCTACCCATACAACTCAAACCCCAAACTCCCCAACCCCCACAACCAGTCCCCCACCACCCTACAACTATCACCACCTCAGTCACCCACACTCTACCTCCATCACCCCCACCCCCATTATCACCACCCCACCACCATCATCCCTCACTACCCCTCCACCAGCCCCCGCAACCAACCCAGTTGCTACAGGCATGGCTAGCAACCCTCCGTCCCCACCTGCACACCCACTCCTGCACTCCCCACTCACTCTCATCCCCTACTCACCCCCACACACCAACTATCCCACAGCTTCCAGGAGCTATGAATCGACCCCTACAACCACAGACAGGTAAGAACACTCCAACCTCTACTCACCCACGCAAGCCTCGCTCCCACTCACCCACACAAGCCTCACTCCCACTCACCCACACAAGCCTCACTCCCACTCACCCACATAAGCCTCACTCCCACTCACCCACACAAGCCTCACTCCCATTCACCCACACAAACCTCACTCCCACTCACCTACACAAGCCTCACTCCCACTCACCCACACAAGCCTCACTCCCACTCACCCACATAAGCCTTACTCCCACTCACCCACACAAGCCTCACTCCCACTCACCCACACAAGCCTCACTCCCACTCCCACACCAATAGCTCTGACGTCCCACATCATAAAAATCTTTGAAAGAGTGCTAAGAAGCAGGATTGCAAATCACCTGGATTCCCAAAATCTGCACAATCCAGGGCAACATGGGTTCAGGGCAGGTCGCTCCTGCCTCTCACAACTACTGGATCACTATGATATGGCCTTGGATGCACTGGAAGAAAATCAGAATGCAGATGTAATATACACAGACTTTGCAAAAGCATTTGACAAATGCGATCACGGCGTAATAGCCCATAAAATACGTGCTAAAGGAATAACTGGGAAAGTGGGGAGAAAGATCTTCAACTTCCTAACAAATCGAACACAAAGAGTAGTGGTCAACAGAGTTAAATCGGAGCCCGCCATAGTGAAGAGCTCTGTTCCACAAGCTGTATAGCCCTTGTGGCTTAGCGCTTCTTTTTGATTATAATAATAATAATAATAATAATCTGTTCCACAAGGCACAGTACTCGCCCCCATCTTATTCCTTATCCTCATATCAGACAGAGACAGAGATATACATCACAGCACCGTATCATCCTTTGCGGATGATACTAGGATCTGCATGAGGCTGTCATCTGCTGAGGACGCGGTTAACCTCCAAGAAGATATAAACAAAGTTTTCCAGTGGGCAACGGTAAACAATATGATGTTCAATGAGGACAAATTCTAACTACTCCGTTATGGAAAACTGGAGGAGATAATAACTAGAACAGAATATACTACAGACTCTGGCCATACAATAGAGCAGAAAAAATAATGTAAGGGACCTGGGAGTAGTAATGTCTGAGGATCTCACTTTCAAGGATCACAACAGTGCCACGATCGCACGTGCAAAGAAAATGATAGGATGGATAATAAGAACGTTCAAAACGAGAGATGCCAGGCCAATGATGATCCTTTTCAAATCACTTGTTCTCTCTAGGCTGGAATACTGCTGTACATTAACATCTCCATTCAAAGCAGGTGAAATCGCAGATCTAGAGAGTGCACAGAGATCCATTACTGCACGTATAAGTTCTGTCAAGCACCTTAACTACTGGGAACGCTTGGAAGCACTTGACTTGTACTCGTTGGAACGCAGGAGGGAGAGATATATCATAATCTACACTTGGAAAATCTTGGAAGGAATGGTCCCAAATCTGCACACAGAAATCACTCCCTACGAAAGTAAAAGACTGGGCAGGCGATGCAAAATGACCCCAATAAAAAGTAGGGGCGCCATTGGTACACTAAAGGAAAACACCATAAGCATCAGGGGCCCAAGACTGTTCAACAGCCTCCCATCAAGCATTAGGGGAATTACCAATAAACCCCTGGCTGCCTTCAAGAGAGAGCTGGACAGATACCTAAAGTCAGTGCTGGATCAGCCGGGCTGTGGCTCGTACGTTGGATTGCATGCGGCCAGCAGTAACAGCCTAGTTGATCAAGCCCTGATCCATCGGGAGGCCTTGTCATGGACCGGGCCGCGGGGGCGTTGATCCCCGGAATAACCTACAGGTAACCCACACAAGCCTCACTCCCACTCACCCACGCCCCACTCACCCAAATAAATAAATAATAGGCGCAATCAAGATTGGGGAACCCACAAGGGTAATAGCAGGGATGTACAACCCTCCACTAAACAGCAGGAGATTAAGACAAGACTCTCATGACCAGCAAGAGCGAAAGTGGACCATAACGGGACTACAATAGCCCATTGGAGCAGTGCAAATTACTGATCGTGGAAGACTTTAAACTAAAAGTAGATAATATTGGTAGAATTACCGACAATATGTTATTATTATATCTTAAATAACAAGGATCCAAACCAGTGCCTCGAAAGGATCAACTTCCTAGCGGCTGAAGTATGCTCAAGGCATATTCCCATAAGAAGAAGAGAAGTAAACTGGAGAGAGAAAGACGTGCTAGATTATCTGAACGGAAGGAAGCGCTGACCACGGAAGTGGAAAGTATCGAACTTAAGTTAAAGGACTCCTACAGGACCCAGGAGAGGCAGGAGGAGCTAAAAGCAATTGATGAAATTGAAAGAAATTCTAAATATTTCTTTTCATATGCCCAAAACAAGGCAAATACCACATCTAGTATTGGACCCTTGCTCAGACAAGATGGGACTTGCACAGATGGCAACAAGGAAATGAGTGAGATACTGAAATCCCAATACGACTCTGTGTTTACCGAGCCACTAATCAGTCTAAAGATCAACAATCCAAATGATTTTTTTCATGAATGAGCCTCAAAACTCCATCAATGTATGCCATGTTTCCGACATTACCCTAGCTCCGATAGACTTTGAGAAAGCCATTGACATGCCCATCCACTGAGCCCCAGGCCCAGGCTCATAGAACTCTGTGTTCATTAAGAACTGCAAGAAACTTTTTCGTGCGCCCTAAGTATACTATGGAGAAGGAGCTTAGATATAGGTTCAGAGCAGGTCGCTCCTGCCTCTCTCAACTGCTGGATCACTATGATATGGTCTTGGATGCACTGGAAGAAAAACAGAATGCAAATGTAATATACACAGACTTTGCAAAAGCCTTTGACAAGTGTGATCATGGCCTAACAACACACAAAATACATGCTACAGGAATAACTGGCAAAGTGGGGAGATGGCTCTTCAACTTTCTAACCAATCGAACACGAAGAGTAGTGGTCAACAGAGTTAAATCGGAAGCTGCAATAGTGAAAAGCTCTGTTCCAAAAGGCACAGTACTCGCCCCATCCTGTTCCTCATCCTCATATCAGACACAGAGATGTAAGCCACAGCACTGTCATCCTTCGCAGACGATACTAGAATCAGCATGAGACTGTCATCTGTTGAGGGCATGATTAATTAATCTCCAAGAAGATTTAAACTAAGTTTGCCAATGGGCAATGGAAAACAATATGATGTTCAGTGAAGACAAATTCTAACTACTCCGTTATGGAAAACTGAAGGAGATAATAACTAAAGTGAGTATACTACAAACTCTGATCATGCAATAGAGCGGAAAAATAATGTGAGGGACCTGGGGGTGTAATGTCTGAGGATTTCACTTTCAAGGATCACAACAGTGCCACGAAAACAACTGCAAAGAAAATGATAGGATGGATAATGAGAACGTTCAGAACAAGAGATGCCAAGCCAATGATGATCCTTTTCAAATCACTTGTTCTCTCTAGGCTGGAGTATTGCTGTACAAGAATGGTATACAATACCGACAAAATGAAAACTGAGGCACATGTGCAAAATCTGGGTATCTTTATTGTAGATGTTTCGCCATCCAGTGGCTTTATCAATTCAAATTCTAGGACATAATTTGAAGACAGTAGAACTATATACAAAAGATGAGTTAATCAGTCCCTCAGGCTTGGAGGTGGTGTGAAGAGCACTACGGTGCTCTTCACACCAACTGTTGCACATGTGGAATATTGCTGTACATTAACGTCTCCGTTCAAAGCAGGTGAAATTGCAGAT